TTTTTATTTTTTTGGGTAAAAATTCCTATTTTTTTCAGGTTTTTTTCGGTTTCAACTTTGCCGAGTGCCCGATAAAAGACACTCGGCAAAGTTGACTTTGTAAATCCTTGTTTTTTGGCGAAAGTGTTGTTTCATTGAGTGTTACACTCGGCGAACCATTTGCCGAGTGTTTTATGTCTTTTGCCGAGTGTTTCGGGCACTCGGCAAACTCAAGGAGTCTGGTAGTGCGACCACCGTAAAAGAGCTCATTTAAATTCTTAGCCCTTCTATAATCACCTGTTCGGCTTATCCAGTTTGAGCTGATTTCGGATGATTTAAATGAGCTCTTTTACAATACTCACAAACTAAATTCTTGTTATAATTTTAATTACGAATAAAATTTATTCTTTGTTAGAACTTGAATTAACCGATGGTCCTATAAGTAAACTATGGCCATGTTTGGATCACATGGCAAAACTTTGGCCCTACACTTTTAGCCTCCTTTTTTGCCATGGGGATCAAACAGGAGGCTAAAAATGAGCAAATGGCTAAAAAATTTTGCTCCTAAAGAGGCCCTAAACTAGGATAAACTCCCTCGGGGCGGGGGCGGGACGTCCCATATCCCTTGCCGCTTGCATATATGGCTGTGCATGGATAATTAAATGAGGGTAAATCAGTCATTGTAGATTAGAGGACTAAAGTTTACCCATGAATCCAAACAGCCTAGCAGGACTAAAGTTTAAGAGCTAAACTTTAAGGGCTAAACTTTAGTCCTTGGACTAGTGATCCAAACACCACCTATATAAACTAAAAGCTTGAGTAGTCTGTTATCTAATCTAACCTAAATAAATACATCTCCAAGTTTTATACATATACCGGTGCGATCCTCGGCAAGATCTGCCATGTCAAAAGTCAGGAGAGGTAATCATCAACAGGTAGACAAATCCTTGACAAGACACCAATCAACACCTCGCCATTGTGATGACTTGAATCAGATATTAGAATTGCATATTTTAATGGATCATCAAAGAAAATCATGTAACTCGATATTTAACTCTATCAACATATAAATAGTAAAACAATATATATTTAAAGTAATACAAGTCTCTTACAATGGGAAAAATATATCAAGATTGTATTCTAATTCAATACAAACTTAGTAAGACGTTGTCATATTGTTGTCAATATTAACTTATATTATGATGTCATGGTCATCATAAAATAAATTATAGCATTTAAATTTTCTAGATATAGTAAAACATAAATAGATATATATGCCCTCCTCTGCAGAGCTCTAGGTAATCCTAGATGTAGAGCTGCAAACATGCTAAGTATAGTCACATGACTTTTTTTTTATTTATGTTTTAGATTCAATAAAAATATTTTAAATCACTTTAGTAGCCTACAAATTACGGATCCAGTATAGATCTCGGAGCTAGAGCTGTTCTAAACGGAGCCATAGCATTTATGTCCTCGTTTTCATTAATGTTTAACACTACTTTTTTTCTCCCGTCGCAACGCACGGACACATTTGCTAGTCATAAATATTAGTCAAATTTCTTTTCTTTCCTAAATATAGTGGATATAAGCTCATGCCTAACTGCATGTGGAAGACACGTAAACCAGGCCCATGCGAGGCCAAATACGGGCGGCCAAAAGCAGAGCTTAATTCTCCTAAAAAAACAGAGCTTAATTTTGGCCGGTCAACGCCACTGGCAGGGTACTCACGGGCACAATCTGTTTCTAAAAAAAACTCATGGGCACAATCTAAACACACCTTAATTTTTGCCATTTAAAACCCTAGAATTCCCTTTTACACCATTTGAATCGTCAAGATTTATCTTTTCTATGAAACATATCTTGGAAAGAAAGTCAGTTTTTTTTCCATATGAGCTCCTGTGGGGGTAATATTTAAATAGAAACTATAGAGCTCAACAGGATTTATAATTTTGTAGCTCACAATACAATGACCCCCCGCTTTGTTTAACTAGCCCAGTCAGTTCGCTTTCTTCGTGGCTCTCATGGGCCACCACTAGACTATTCTGGTGGTCCAAGAACTTCTCTACTAGGCTATCACTTAGAGGTCGAACCTAGCACCGGATAACTTCATTACCTGACACCAAACAAAATGCCTCCAAGTTTGAACTCTCTCGCTCGTGCGTCGACCAACCACATCTCCCCTCTGAGATATCTTTCTCCAGTGCCTCACACCTTGGGAGCACCAGAATTCCGGTGTAACTCTAGGCACAGAAAATAGCACAATGCAGTGTACGTAGCCCTTTCTGTGGTGGTCTTTGCACGCCATAATCGAACTATTCCGGTGGTAGCAGAGACACTCCACCGAGCTCTGTTTCAAAACATTTTCCAAATGCACTAAGTCCAAATGCTATCACGTAAGATCACCAGCACCTTCAGCCTTGAGTTAGCATTTTCAAAGTCATCTTGCAAAGGTTTTCTCTCTCCTTTAGACGCCACTCAATCTAAATGCATCACGAGTTAGATATCACCCAGTGGCACTAGATAGCCGATTAGCCAACAAGAAAGCTCCTCTTGATAGTACTTATGTCGGTGCGAAATGTGGCCAATAAGTAAATATTTGTAGTTTTACCGTGTGTTGTGATCGGATGTGGCCTAGCACATGATGACACAGGATTTATACTGGTTCAGGCAACGTGCCCTACATCCAGTTTCAGTCGATCGATGACTTTATTCCTGATCCAGGTGCTCGAAGTTTGCTGTGGGGTTACAAACGAGTAAGGAATGAGAAGGGGGTGTTAGAGGTCCGGTCGGACTCTGATCCGAGTGAAAGAGATTGACGGATGCTCAAACGTACGCTAAGTATTGGAGTGTATGCTCTGTGTGTCCGAGCTTATCAGCTATTGAGAGCGTGTAGACTGTGTAGCTGTCGAGCTCTCTCTTTTTGTTAGGAGAGAGCGCATCCCCTTTTATAGATGAAGAGGATGGCCTTACAAGTCAAAGACGGAAATGGAGAGAGTGTGTACGGGTGCTACCTAGTCTTGTTGCCCACATCGTCGGGTACGGCATGCCATCGCCACCTTACTGTTCATGACCTGCGGTACCTGGCAGGCTGCACAGTGTTCGCCCACCTTACTGTTCATGACCTGGCAGGCTGCACAGTGTTCGCCTAGGACGGCCAACGACGGCGCACACAATACTGTTTGTGCTCTACCGTGTCTGGCAGGATGTATAGTGACCGCCTGACATGGCCTGACGGCACCGTCCTGCAGGTGCACAGGGCATGGTAGGGTACGGTCCTCGGTATTGCGGTTGACTTGAGCGCCTTACCTTATCTGCTCCGCCTGCTCCTCGGGCCCACACCGAGCAGGCGTCCTGGTCGGTCGTTCCCAGTCGATCGGGAAAGAGAGGCGAGCAAAGGTCCGGTATATCCTCAGTCGGAGGAACGGGGTCGGAGTCGGACTGCGGTCCCACCTCGACCAGGCCTTCCGGTCGGGGCTCCGACCTGGTCTCCTGGCCGAAGGTGCCGGTCGGGGACTAGATCGTGGTTTCGGCCTGTCATTGTGTATCTAGGCTGTCCCAGACGTGCGCTATCGCTGTGTCGCCTGCTAGGCCAAGTATTGCAGGGAAGCGGGTCCATTGGGGACCCCGGGTTTATAAACCCGACAACTTATCTTTCCTAAAGCTAGTCAAGAACTTCTCTACTCAAGCTTAGACCAGTGAAATTAAATAACCTATAAATATACCTTTGCCTTGTGTGTTCCATTTTCACTTCATGTTAGTGACACCACACAAGCATCCAACCTCAATCTTCATCTTCCAATGCTGAACAATGGTCAAGGATAATTGTAGCCAACCATGCTACCTTGATCATTGCCCATAGCATGAAGCTCCTCCATCACCCCTCCATCAAGCCACTTGATCATCAGCACTTCACTTGATCACCTTGGAATGGTATGATCCAATTCATATCTTCACGTGGCCTTATTGGTCCAACGATCGTAGCTTTGCTTGCTCTTCACCTTTGCCTCGTTCATCGGCACCAAGTCCTCTACTTGCACTTCACCACCTCGACAGCGCATCACATCCGAGCCTCTAGCTTGCCCTTCACTCGTGCAACCGGTCGTTCGCCTAGCCATATGTGAGAGTATATCATGTCTCATATACAATAAACTCATTCATCTTCACTCGTTGAGCACTTGCATCACATGCACAAGCCATCTCTCCTCCATGGCTATCACTGCTTGCTCAACCTAGCGTGTGTGGGCCAAGTACCTATTCATCTCACATAAAAGGCATTAGTCCATTTAAGGTTGTCACTTAATTATCAAAGTCAAACCAAGACTTTTAGAGTTCAAGACACATCTGTTGTGTTGGATTGAGCCATGGGTAGACACAACTTACACTTGAGTCGTTACAATATTTGGACAAGTCCTTTGGCGCCCCGACTATGTTCAAGTCCATGTTTCCTCAAACACCTAAAAAACATATCCCCCCCCCCCACCCCCACCCCACCACACCACACACACCAAACACACTTTTTAAAACCGTTTGTTTTTTCAACTTAAGCGATTAGGATGGAGATTTCAGCCTACATGTCACCATGCCAACTGTGAGGAGGTAAAATGAACTACGTTAAGAGTTCAGGGACAAAAAAAATTTACCAATGAACAATTATAAAAATACATTATTTTGAAAAATTATCAAAATACTTTTATCTAGAAAAGTTACACATTATAATTCCTAAAATCTCATTTCACCTTAGAAAATTTGTTTTAGCTCAAAAAAATATGAAACCAATTTTAATTTTTTCTAAATAATGTTCTATCTTTTGGTACCTAGCTTGGCAGGTAGGGATAGCCTACCTGACACACATGTAGCGGTACAATTCACTCAACTCACATATCTTTATCTTAATAGTCCTCCAATGCATGATGCTAATTTACAAACCTCAGCCATTATTGTTTAATAATAAGTAAAAACAGTACAAGACTATAAGCTTTGTTTCATCTACACCAACGCATGAGTCCGCTCAACATCTTCAATCAAGTCGACTTGACAATAGGGCTAACCGATATCTCACTGTCTCTAGCAGTGGTGTCTCTACTGCTCTGGTATGTGCCGCTCCACAATCCCGAGCTAGTTGAGCCACCGCTGCTTTCCATGACATAATGGAAGGGGTTCACGGGCGAGACAATGGCCATCTCCCCCTCCAGCATCCGCACCACGCTGCTCATCGTCGGCCGTGCCGACGGCTGAAACTGCACGCACCACAACGCCACCTTGCACATCATCTCCGCCTTCTCTCTGTCCGCCTCTCCGACGATCCCGTCGCAGGACACGACGTCCTCGATCTCCCCCTGCTCGTACTTCTCCCACGCCCACCTCGGGAACCACTCCTTGCTTTCGCCGTGGCCGGGGTCGTAGTTCCGGCGCCGCCCCAGGATCTCGAACAGCACCATCCCGAAGCTGTACACGTCGCACTTCTCCGACGCCGGCAGCGCCATCCACAGCTCCGGCGCCGCGTACCCGGGCGTCCCGCGGCCGCCGCCGGTCAGCGACATGTGCGTGTTCTCGCGCTCGCCCAGCCGTGCGAGCCCGAAGTCTGCCACCTTCGGGGTGTAGTCGGCCGTGAGAAGAATGTTCGCCGGCTTGATGTCGTAGTGCACGATCCGCTGCTGGCACTCCTCGTGCAGGTACCTGATCCCCTTCGCCGTGCCGACGGCGATACCGTGCAGTGTCCCCCACTCCAGCCTCGTGGCTGTGCTGCCCTCCTGATCGCCGTAAAGGTATTTCTCGAGTGAGCCGTTCTCCAAGTACTCGTAGACTAGGGCCTTCGTGTTCGCGTCGAAGCAGAAGCCGTAGAGGCGAACGAGGTGCACGTGGTACGTCCGGCCTATGGTGCCGATCTCCGCCATGAACGCCTCTTGAACCTTCTTGTTCATGGACACCTTCAGGACCTTCACGGCCACCGGCAGGCCGTTCGGCAGCTCACCCTTGTAGACCACGCCGTAGCCGCCAGACCCCAGCTCTAACGAGTAGTTCCGGGTGCAGGCCGCCAGCTGCTCGGAGCTGAAACGCATCGGCTTCTCGTTGAGGATCTGGTTGAGGAACGTCTCAACTGGCCCGACCTCGATCACCACATCTTCCACGGCGTTGCTGGTTTGCATCTCACTCTCACGGTTCTTTTTCTCAATCTCCTCCAGGACTTTCTTTACGATTTTCTTCTTCATCTTCTTGCTCACGATGATTGTGGATACTGAACAACGAAATGAAACAGACAATAATTAATTACCTAGCAAGTCGCCACTGTACTAAGTCAATAAGGAGAAGAAGGTGCCAGATCGATGTATCGTACTGATTGCAACTGCATTCCCCATGTCTATGACGCTTCTGGGGCCGTAAGCTTGATTAGAGTCTGCGTCATGGCATGCGTCACATAAGCAAGTTATAGGTGAATGAACAGTTCAGTCAAAGCCTGGAATGAGCTTGCAATCCCAACTAGAAACACGCTGAGTCCTCGTTCACTTTGAAAAAAAAGTAAACCCGATGAATAGTACCACTTTCGTCTTATTTGTCAAATATTATCCAATCGTGGACCAACTAGGCTCAAAAGATTCATCTCGTGATTTCCAACTAAACTGTGTAATTAGTTATTTTTTTTACCTACATTTAATACTCCATGCAATCAGCTAAAAATTGATGTGATGGAGAGAGAGTGAAAAAACTTGGAATTTGGATGGCATCTAAACAAGGCGTGATATTTTCTTCCTTAGATATCTACTGCCATAAATATGGGGAAGGAATAAAAAATTTGCTTCTGAACAAAATTTCTGAAAGTTCTGGTCATTCCATCAATTGCTCAACTACAGAAGGAGGCAAGGAGCACAAGCATGAACCTCGTATCTCCAGCAGCGAACCCACAGAAACATTCCTATAACATATGACTGACAGAATTAACAAACTGAGAAACTGGCTAGCCCAATTACCCCACCGAGAAAATCTTCAAAACAAAACGGAAACTAGCTGAGGGAGAAGAGCTCACCTGTGTGGATACCCTGGTTGTGTTCGATCCTCTTTCTAGCTCCTTGTGCTCGCTGGTGAGCAACTGCTGCGCTGCCCGCTGGGCTAAATCACTGAGGTCATGAGAGACCGCTCTCACTGGAGGAGCAGGAGGACGTATGCAGCTACGACTTGATAAAGGCCTGGCCCCCTGGGCAGGCACACACGCAGCTGTTGCTGACTAAGACGAGCTCGGGCAGATGCTCTGGCTGATCGGGCGGTGGCCCCACACTGATAGAAAGAGTTCGTGACACAATTGGGTGGTGGGTTGACACCACGTAACTTGGTCCACAGAAAATATTTAGACAAAAATCCTTTGACCCTCGACTATGTTGGAAGTCTAATTTTCCTCCTAACACCTTTAAACCAGATGTTGTTCCTCCTCCAATTTTTAAAATTGTTTTTTTAAGGAACAGGAGGGGCAAGGAGCCCCTACTGGATTATATTAAACAGTAAAAGGTGCGATACAAAACGAACAACAAAATTCCAGGAGTGGAGGGGAAACTAAGGCACTAAGAAAGGGAAAAAGAAGAGGTACACGAAAAAAATGGGTGGTCTCCAAATTAGTCTAAAATGGTTTATCCATTCCTGAATTTTGGGGAAATACTCCTTCTTTGCTATGCATAGCATCAGCTGCATCTCAATTTTGAAGATGGTTTTTGTATTTTCATCCTGAAAGATTTAAATGAAGGTTGGAACCTACATGTCGCAATGCCAACAGTGGACGATTTAAATGGAGGTTTTATCCTACACATGTCGCCATGCCAACAGTGAGAGGGTAAAATGAATTACGTTAAGAGTTCAGGGGTCAAAAAGATTTTAACAAGGAAACAATTATAAAAATAGTTTGTTTTCAATTCATCCAAAAAAAAATTCTGAAAATTTTACCTAATAATTCCTAAAATCTCATTTCACCTTACAAAATTTGTTTTAACTGAACAAATATGAAACCGGTTTTAGATTTTTTTTTTCTAAAATCTTTTGGTGCCTAGCTTAGCAGGTAAGGATAGCCTAACTATGTCACACTCGTAGCGGTACAATTCACTGAACCCACGTATCTTTATAGTCCTCCAATGCATGATGCTAATTTACAAACCTCAACCTTCACTGTTTACGGTAACTCAGTGAGTAAAAACATTAACTAATGTGTACAAAACTACAAGCTCTGTTTTCTCAACACTGACGCAAGAGTCCGCTCAACCTCTTCAATCATGGCGCCAGTCGACTTGGCAGCTGGGCTGATGGATAGCTCACTGTCTCTAGCAGTGGTGTCTCTACTGCTCTGGTATGTGCCGCTCCACAATCCCGAGCTAGTTGAGCCACCGCTGCTTTCCATGATATAACGGAAGGGGTTCACGGGCGGGACAATGGCCATCTCACCCTCCAGCATCCGCACCACGCTGCTCATCGTCGGCCGTGCCGACGGCTGAAACTGCACGCACCACAACGCCACCTTGCACATCATCTCCGCCTTCTCTCTGTCCGCCTCTCCGACGATCCCGTCGCAGGACACGACGTCCTCGATCTCCCCCTGCTCGTACTTCTCCCACGCCCACCTCGGGAACCACTCCTTGCTTTCGCCGTGGCCGGGGTCGTAGTTCCGGCGCCGCCCCAGGATCTCGAACAGCACCATCCCGAAGCTGTACACGTCGCACTTCTCCGACGCCGGCAGCGCCATCCACAGCTCCGGCGCCGCGTACCCGGGCGTCCCGCGGCCGCCGCCGGTCAGCGACATGTGCGTGTTCTCGCGCTCGCCCAGCCGTGCGAGCCCGAAGTCGGCCACCTTCGGGGTGTAGTTGGCCGTGAGAAGAATGTTCGCCGGCTTGATGTCGTAGTGCACGATCCGCTGCTGGCACTCCTCGTGCAGGTACCTGATCCCCTTCGCCGTGCCGACGGCGATACCGTGCAGTGTCCCCCACTCCAGCCTCGTGGCTGTGCTGCCCTCCTGATCGCCGTAAAGGTATTTCTCGAGTGAGCCGTTCTCCAAGTACTCGTAGACTAGGGCCTTCGTGTTCGCGTCGAAGCAGAAGCCGTAGAGGCGAACGAGGTGCACGTGGTACGTCCGGCCTATGGTGCCGATCTCCGCCATGAACGCCTCTTGAACCTTCTTGTTCATGGACACCTTCAGGACCTTCGCGGCCACCGGCAGGCCGTTCGGCAGCTCACCCTTGTAGACCACGCCGTAGCCTCCGGACCCCAGTTCGCACGAGTAGTTCTTGGTGTAGACCGCCAGCTGCTCGGAGCTGAAACGCATCGGCTTCTCGTTGAGGATCTCGTTGAGGAACTTCTCCACGGGGCCGATTTCGACCACCACATCTTCCACGGCGATGCAGGACTGAGCCTGGCGGTCTTTTCGGTCAAGCTCCTCCAATACTTTCTTTACGATTTTCTTCTTCATCTTCTTCCTCACGACGCGGCATCTTCTGATGAGGGCGATCATTACTACTACTGTCGCAGTTCCCGCGACTGAAGATGCTGAAGAACATCGAAATGAACACAGCCAATCAGCAAGTTGTTACTACTGCAAGTTAAGGAGAAGAAACAAGATACACGGTGTCAGATCGATGTATCGTACTGATTGCAACTGCTGCATTCCCCATGTCTGCGACGCTTCCGGGATGTAAGCTTGATTAGAGTCTGCGTCATGGCATGCGTCACATAAGCAAGTTGGTTCAATGAACGGTACAGTCAAAACCAGTAATGAGCTCGCAATCCCAAGTTCCCAACAAGAAATTTTAGTTTTCTGAACAAAATCTCTGAATGGAGGAGGATTCAAAACCGGCTGGGAGCTCCAGGAACCATTCTATTCTATCCTATAATCTCTGAAGAAAATTTAGTGTTCTGAACAAAATTTCTGAATGGATAAGAGTTACTGATCATTCAATCAATCTATAGATGGAAGGAGCACGAGCATATAACTGCATGAGGTTACCATCTCCTGACTGAATTAACAAGCCGACGTACCCAAATACCCTGACCGACAAGACATTCAAAACAGAGGAAACTAGAGGAAGAAGAAAAGCTAACCTGTGTGGATGGATTATCCAGGATTCAGCCAAGACTAGGGCCAAATCTTAGGGGTCAAATATTGTACACTGTAATGAGAAATTAGAATAAGGGATGAAATTGGGAACTTGGAACTTGGAAATTTGGAATTAAATCAGTTTGAGATCCAAACCTAACAAGGGAAGCTTGTTCCGTTGCTCTGCTCGCCTGCAACTCTGCAAGGAAGGAGGCGGTCAACCAGCAACGGGCGGGCAGCCGGCGCTCGGCTGAGGAAGGAGCCGCCGGCCGCGACGCCGTGGAGCGCAGAGACCAGAGGGGGCGACGGCGAGGCCGTGGAGCCGGAGCGCGGAGGTGGAGCGGAGGGCCGGTCCACCAGTCGGCGCAGGAGGCGGAGGCAGAGGCGGAGTGGAGGGGCGGTGGTCGAGTCTCGCGACGACGCGAGGAGCGAGCACGCCGAGCGGCTCTCTGTCTCTAACTCACCTGGGCTGCTTGTTTTGCGCTGCGATGGGCTAAGAAACTGAAGACCTGCTCCCTTGTTAGTGCTGGGTCCGCCCATGGATGGATAGCCTTAGCCTCTCCGTGTTCGGCCTTTGCTCGCTGGGCGCTGGCGCTGGCGCTGGCGACCAACTGCTGCCCGCAGGGGCAGAGCTAAATTATTGAGCAGATGAGAGACCGATCGAGCTGATGACTGGTGATTCGTTGAAGGAGAAAGATGACGCTTGCTGCTACGACTTATGAAAAGGCTCAGGGAAGGCACACGCGGGCAGCCATTGCTGACTAATTTGAGATGTTGACTGCGCGATGGGTCCGTTGCAGACTAATCTGTGAGGTTGCTTCTGCTGACAGCGACAAGCGCGGATTCTCGGAATTTTCTTCCGTTCCATCACCATCGACGGAAAGAGTGCAAGAGCAAGACGCATCTCCTCTCTTCTGGATTGGGCCGTGAAGCCGAACAATCTGTTCATGGGCCTCTGAACGCATGTAACAGCGCACGAAACCCATCTAGTAGCCCACGTAGGTCCATGTACGAATTCAGTCAGTTGTCCGGGGAGTGCAGCACGCTTGGCCCAGATGCTATGAATGAATCAACGAAACGTGTCTTCTCCCGCGAAAAGGAAAAGGTCCACGTTGCTTCTCTCTCAACTTTCGCGAAAGTTCGCTTTTTTCTCTCTAAACTTTAAAACCGGACAAAACACTTTCCTTAACTTTTAAAACAATTCATCTTACCTCCCTGACCCTGTTATAAGTAGTTTTGAAGGCGCTTTTGTTTTTTTCTTTTTTATTTATATCGGCTGAATCTTTAAAAAATTATAGTAAATCACTGAAAAATCATAAAATAGAAAATCTAATTTTGTTGGACTCCACATGAGTAGATCTACATAATGAACATATAATATGATATGCTTTAATACAAAGTTTTTTGCTGTGGCTTTAGATTTATGCTTTTATATAATTAATTGGAATAATTCAAAGTGCAGTTTCTATGGTCCAATTATGATGAAAATTTTATGATGGGCTAATTATTGTATGATTAAATAGTAGTAAAAATTTCATACTCGTTCGATCATGCGTAGCTTAGTTATAGATTTATTTATATTTAAAAAAACATAAATTTAAATATCTATGTGTCAGCGGTATATTCTTTCTGAGCTACGCAAGGCCCATTGTCTACATCATGCGGCGTTGTTTAGTCCCTCGTCTGAGAGGAAAAGTGGTCGGAACTACACGGCACATGTAGTGTGTGTCCATAGTTCCATACATGCTTTTTTTTAATCATCAAAGATAAAAGAAAGAAAATAGTTTCCCTAGGTTCGCAACGATGGAGCCATACTTTTCGATCACACATGCCTGTCGTTGAGATTTCGGGCCGGATTAGTTAGCTTTCAATTATTGTCCAATCAAAATCATGGCAAGCTAAAATTTAGTCTTAGCAAAATTATAAAGATTTTAAAAATTAAAACAAAAAACATAGATGTACATTTGGCTGAGTGCCATAACAATAGTAGAAAACACTTTTTCTCTCTTTTCTAATCTAAGAAGTTTCTAGAGATTGCTAAATTTTTTGACGATAAATATCGATATGCTAATTCTTTGACAGCAAACCGATTGATGACTAGAAGTTTTATTTTACTATATAATTTTGTTAGATAAAAATTGGAAGCCCAAATAGAACCTCGTTATCATCGCTGCCTCCGCCTGAGTTGAGATTTTTTGGAAACACAACAAGCTCTACGTTGTTTGTGCCGCTTGGTACTATTCAACGAACGAGGAAGCTTATCGCCGAAGAAAATGCACCGACCCTTATCCAAGCAATTACCTGAATTCTTAGTGGTTATCCATCCAAAAAAAATCATACGAATTCATGCCTATATATATATACACGCGACTTCGCTGCAACTGCGTAGGAAATATAGAGCAAGTGCATTTTGAACCAGAAGACTTTGACCAAGCGACCCAATCAGGGCGAAGCCTCCCTTCTTATCTGCCCTTCCACCTTCCCGTCTCCATCGCGCACTTGCCCACCTCTCCCTCGCCGGCCTCGGGCCTTCCCCACCCCACCATCATCATCAAGGAGGAGATAGCCATGGTGCGGGCGAGTCTTCTCGCCGTTCGGTCAGCGCTAGCAGTCGGCGCTACCGCGGCCACGCAACACGACGGCACCCCACTCGGTCCCGTGGCGATCGTGTTCCTCGCGGTGGCCGCGACGGTGGCCGTGGCGGCCATCGCGGCGTTCGGGTGCGCGCAGGGCGCCAAGAAGCCGCGCCGGCAGAACAACAACAACGCGTACTACTACGGCCAGGGCTACCCGCCGCCGCCCGCGGGCGCGTACGGCTACCCCGCGCAGCAGCCGGCCCCCGGGTACGCGTACCCGCCGCAGCAGAGGCCCGGCCGCAGCGGGCTCGGATCGGGGGCCGCGGGGCTCGCCGTCGGCGCCGTCGGAGGGCTGGCCGCCGGCGCGATCATCGGCTCGGCGCTCGACTCCGGCGGCGGAGGCTGTGGAGGCGGCGGTGGTTGCGGAGGAGGCGGTTGCGGTGGCGGTGGTTGTGGCGGCGGCTGCGGTGGTTGACATCTTTCTTCTTCTGAATTCTGTTTAACATCTGCCATGTGATTAGCGTGGCGATCTGCATGGTACTATGGTTTGTGTTCACGGTTTTTTTTTTATATTGTGATGAAAAGAAAAAGAAAGCACGAATTGATTCGATGGGAATTCGTGATGTCAGGATCAAATGTTCTTGTGCAAACCATATCCGATCTAATCACTAGTAGAGAACAGACCTTTCATCCGAGGCCAAAATAAGCTCTAGTCCCGGTATTTTTTGCGCCCGGGACTAGAGAGACCTTTAGTCCCGGTTGGAGACACCAACCGGGACTAAAGGTCCCTGCCCAACGGCTACTGCGCTCGGCACAGTGGCAGGGGACCTTTAGTCCCGGTTGGAGATACCAACCGGGATTAAAGGTGGACCTTTACTCCCGGTTGGAGCCACCAACCGGGACTAAAAGTCCTCCAACCTTTACTCCCGGTTGGTAACACCAACCGAGACTAAAGGGTGACCTTTTAGTCCGGGTTGATGTTACTAACCGGGACTAAAGGGCCCTTTAGTCCCGGTTGGTAACATCAACCGGGACTAAAGGTCCTCCGATGGGTTAGTTCAAAAGGAAAGCATCCCATCTATTGTTAGATGTGTTGTGTAGGTGGGGTGGTAAGCTACGCGCGAGGCAGTGCATGAGGTCTTGGGTTCGAATCTCACGGGACGCAGCGGTGGGAGGCATTTTTTTTAAAGCTGGGAGGATCTTTAGTCCCGGTTGTGGCAAACCGGGACTAAAGAACAACATCTTTAGTCCCGGATTGCTAGTCCCGGTTGGGAAACCGGGAGTAGAGCTAGTTCCCAACCGGGACTAGATCTCATTTCTCCACTAGTGAATCATCCAAATGTTGTCGCGTACATATGTACATACTCATGTTTTCCTGTTTATTATTATTATGATGATGCACCGAATCCTCATCACGTTCTCATTAATTTATTATTATATTCGTCCAATCTGAGTAAGTTCTTCTATTTTTGTTGTTTGCATAAATATATTACGTTATAGTATATAGTGTTTCGTGTTTGAAATATGAATGATGATTCATAGATTATTTCATAGTTTCAGCCGTGGATTATAGACAAGAATAATTGAGAACTCCATCAATTCTTTTATTTCTCGACTTTTTAACCACACAAATTGGCCATTCAATGTAATCCGGCGTTTCCTACCATTCAATGTAATCCAATACCGTGAGATCTCGTCTCCCCCACCGTGTGATGTTTTCCATCAATTGCTCCTCTCACTCGCCCTTTTGGCTCCCACACTTGGCTCTGTTGCTCCGCCTCTCAGCTCCCACACTTGCTCTGTAGGTCCTTGGCATGGTTTGCTCCGTCTCTCTCCCAAGTGTTGCTCGACACTCGATTAGCCTAGGGCAACTTTGACGATAAATCTCTAGAGATGAGTAACTCTAGCGATAGGTCTCTGGAGAGGAGGGACAACTCCATTTATAGGCCTCAGAGAGGGAGGGTCTCTGGGGAGGACGGACAACTCCCTTGATAAGCCGCTAAGAGGGAGGGGCAACCTGGCCGTAGTTATTTATGGGGAGAAGCACGATGTTCTTTCATTATCTAAAAATAAATCTTAAAACTTATTTGGTTGTACTTGAATTCAATTTAGAACTTATTTGGATTAAAGTGAATTTTAGTACAATCTAACCAAGTGTAAGGAAATAAACAATCACACGTATATTTTAGAACAGAGTACTAGTTCTCTCTTCTCCGCGTCCTGCCATAGGTACTGATTCTCTCTCTCTCTCTGGCATTCATTGACTTTTTGAGTGTTTGACTTCTGGACCACTGTAAAGCTGGTCCTAGCCTAGCACGAAAATGTCAAAACAGAAGATGGTCAATCACTGTAGTATCACGGCGCGTCGCTTATAGAAGACCAAAATTATTTAGCTAGTTTTTTTTTCGTGCTCTCTATTTCGGTCCACGGCCCACCTGACACTTAGTTTTTCTTTTAGCAGAACCTGACACTTAGGTGATCACTTGGTTTATTCCACAATTTTTGCCCAACGAATGGCCACGGGGCACGGGCCCACGGCCAACTACTTTTCTCTGATGCTAACCGAGATTGAGGGACTAAAGTTTAGTTCCTATCACATTGAATATTTAGAAGATGATTAAATATAAGTTAATTATAAAACTAATTGCATAAGAGTAGACTAATTAATAAGACGAATCTATTAAGCCTAATTAATTCATGATTAGCATATATTTATTGTTGCACCACTTTGTCAAATCATAGACTAATTAGGCTTAATAGATTCGTCTCGTAAATTAGTCTCAATCTATGCAATTAATTTTGTAATTAGTCTATATTTAACACTTCAAATTAGTGTCAAACATCCAATGCGACAGGGACTAATTTTTAATCCCCAGAACTCAACACCAAATACCTCAGAGTCGATTTCGTTTCATGCAGGTGAATTTCGACCTTCAAATTGTACAGTACTCATAGAAGCTAAACTAACACTCCTCCGTGCGGATAAGAGTGCAACTCTAACGTACAAGTTGTGTCTAAAAAAATCAGCTTATACACATAGCCCAATGAATGGCCAAAGCTTGGCCCTGATTTTGTCTCACAAAGATACAGATGTGGTGTGCAAACACATTAGGGAAGTGAAATCACTCTGTTTTTTTTTTTTGCTAGATTTTTTTAAAAAGAACCAAACAAAAGAGCTATCAATTATATTAATAAAAATTTTGGACTAAAATACAACGGCATTAAAGTAGTATAACAGAAAAACAACACCAATAGCAACTGTTACAACTGCTAACTAGTCGGGAGAAACATTGCATCAAGCCATACACCAGTAATCTCATCCTATGTACCAGTGTATCATAATTGGTCTCAAAGTTGACCAAAACACGTCTATGTTCGGCTGCTATTATAAGTCGGCTTACTTATCAGTCATGGTATATTATTTATCTCTCTCAATAAATCAGCCGTACAAATCAACACAGGTGGCTTATAGACCAGCTGAAGAGCCTTGATAATAGATTAACATATACCCCAGCCCCCGTGTCGGCTGCTCTGCTGAGATATTCGAAAGTGACTTGATAACAACCATTTCTGCTCTGAAATCCACGCTCCTTTAGGCGAAGCTCTAGGCGCCGATAAGCAGCTCGTTCGCCTGGGGCTGGCTGGCTGGCTGGCTGGGCTGGCCAGCTGTAACAGAACCGACCAATTATACGAAATTAAGTAAGAAAATCATCCGCCAGAGCAGACAATTTAGCAAACTTAAGCCCGTATAACCCGATAGTCCGTGAAATCACGAAGGATTTCAAACCAACTTACATACCAGCCAAGATCGTAATAAGTTTAGCGGTCACCATCACATATTACATAAAAGTTCGCATCTCAGATACATCAGAGTTTAAACATAGTTATTACAAAACGAGTTCAAATAGAAGTAGCGGAAGCCATTTGTTCAAAACCACACACACTCACACGGAGTTCAAATACAGTGCCAGCTAATGATCACCTCCAACAAAAGCATCAGACGAGACGTAAGGAATGACCATGCCCATGGTCCTAAGCATCACCCATCGTAGGATAAAGGCAGTTGATACAGTAGCCGTAATACATCTGCCCATCTGCAACAAGTGGGAATAAAACCCTGAGTACGAGAAGGTACTCAGCTAGACTTACTCGACATAACCGAAAATAAAGTGACACCAAGGATTATGAAGGGCTTTATAGTAGGGTAGCTGACTCATTTGCAAAAAGTCATTTTTAGCATTTCAAGAACATTTCCGAAAGCATTATTGTCAAGTTACTTATTATTAACCTGTCGACTACATTTGCACCTATACTAGAGCAAGCATGTGATTAAGTAAATAATGATAACCAATGATCATTAACAACTTCCATAATGTCATATTCATTATAACTGTCCAAGTGTTCCATTAACATTACTACGATAAAGTCACTCAAGTCAAGTGCTCACTATCCAGGAGCGATGGCGATTCGAATCGATTCCTAACTAGCTGGTGATTTATTCCTTACACAAACCTCACTCACCCGTTAAAGTGAGGTATCGGTCACCGAGTCAACTATCCAGGAAATCTCGAGTTTGCCAGGAACCATATGTACCCGGGGGCCGACCGACTGCCCTTTGATCTTATCATCGAGCCCCCGTGTCCTACCACATCTGCTCCGGCACAGTGCGCTGCGGGCAATCTACTCGGCCCGAATAATCTCCCAGCTTCGCGGTCGAAAGGTACTTTATTCGGCCAGCTAAATGTAAGGCATGCGTTCAACATGACCTAAGGCCCAATAACGGTCGGTCCTTAATCGGACGGAAAGCACTACAGTCAAAAACCCTGTAAGTCTCCGTCCGGTCTCAACTTCATTTAACACTTAGTTATACCATGACTACATAGTTCTCCAAGCAGATCCAGGTAACCACCTATAGCTCGCAGGTGACAGGAAATCACCCGACTTCTACCGGTCTAAGCCAGCTAAGCATTGACTCGACTGCGGATACCAGAGTAACAAGGATATAGTATAACAAAGGTAAACAAGGTATAATGCAGCAACGGTTGCAAACAACTTCTGAACGTAATGCATCAATTAAAGTAAAGCATTTGATTAATAATTGCAAACCGGGGAGAAAAATGCTCCGGGACTTGCCTCTCTCGAAGGAGCTCGGGCGGTGATCGAGGCACTCCGGAAGTTCCTCAACGTCCTCCTCGTCTGCTTCGGTCACTTCCTGCGGCTGCACCTCGAGCTGCTCCTCGGGCTCCTCGGGTATGACGACTGGGCTCTCGGTTTGCGATCCTGTATGATGCATGTGCGTAAGTGCTTATGCAAAAGGTGCATAGGATGAAATGAACACAATGGATATGCTTGAATGCAAGGTAGTCAACATCATCCAAGAACATGTACTACAAGCACATGTCATCTACTGCATTCTCTTCTAATACTAATATGCTAAGTCAACACATCTCATTAAATGCTTCAAAGATACACCAA